TGTCTGTCCCGATCCCTGTCCCGGTCTCTCCCGCTGCCTGTCCCGATCCCTGTCCCGGTCTCTCCCGATCCCTGTCCCGATCCCTGCTGCCATCTCGCGGCCCCGCACAGCACCGCACACCGAATCGCTCGGGAGTCCGCTACAGGGAAGGGAAACATCGGAGAGGCTTTTCTTCAAAACAGTTCCGAATCAAACTGAAATCACTGATTTCCATTCGCTCCTCTGAATGACAGAGCAGCAGCAGCTCAGGCGGCGGGTGACTGCCCATCTCACCCTTTCCATCCCAGAAAAGGACCAAGGTGGGCCCCAGGCAATGTTGGATTTCCTTGGTGCCGACTCCCCACCAATATTCAGACTCCCTCCTCAAAAGCCATGGCAGATCTGAAAAACCTTACTCCTCACCAACCCTGCGCTGCCCCCACAGCAAGATTTTCTGCTGCTCTGCTTGCATTCACCACTCCAAGTGAGATTTCTTCTGGGCTCAGGGTCTTCTGACTCCTCTTCYGAAGTATCCCTGGTCCAGGGAGATATCCCAGGGATAATCCCAGGGAAGAGGATTTGGCATTATGGCAGTGTACACTCACAGCCTAATAATAACCATAGCCCTACTGCYCTTCCTGTCCACACTAAACACTTGCCCAAAGCATTTCACTCTTTATACCAAGGCAAAGACAAAATCTGTTTTTTAAGGCAGTGAATGCCATAGGAATTACCTTGTTCCTCTCACATGCATTTAGTGTAAGGCAGTTYAAACAAATACATCAGCCTCAAGTGCTTTCGTGAGTCTTGCCATAGTTACCTTGTTGCTCTGAATAATTTTATTTATTGATTCATTTATTTTTGCTCCAAAGTTAGAAAGTGTAGCTCCAAAGGTAACAAGCCCCTTTGGAGCAGAGAAATCAGGATTTCCTAATGATTTGAATTTAGTTACATGCTACCATTCAACCTCTCCGAACAACAATTTAATGACTAAGGAGAAAACAATCCAAGGGCAAATCTCAAATGAAAAAAAGGTAAAAAAGAAAAAACAACACAAGAGAAAAATAAACACTTCACTTCTAATTCAGGCACACAGAAACAGTGAGAAAATAGGGCTGGACAGGGCCTGAAGTTCTCAAGCCATTTATCAGGTGCCTAGTGCAGGGAGAGAAATATTACTTCTGGCAACTGTTCTCTAATCTATTTTTAAAGATATAAATATAAAAGGATCCACATTGTTCCTGCCTGGATCTCTTCCTGCTCTGCCTTGTCCTTTTCAAAATCCCTCTAGAAGACTCCATAAGCAAATTCTGAACTCTGAATTCTCAAACTCTGTTTGGATCATTTCACCCTCCAGAAAACAAAAAAAACACTCACCAAACACTATCAAATGCCAAGTGTTTTGAAAGCAGCTTTCAAAACAGAAACAAACAAAAAATTCTACTTCAAAAAATTAGGTGTTTAAAGAAGGTAACATAATAAGCACATAGAAAATAAATCAGCATAACTCAAACACAGCCCAACAGTAAAATACTAGAAATTGAACTGGGAACTACACAGGTTGGAATGTGGAAAATATGGAAAGTGTGGAATGGAAACATAAAAATGACAGCAAGCACCTTCCACAAGGGAAGCGACTTTTTATGAAAGAGTAAGAGAACTGTCTTGTAGYGAATGTAGCTATCAAGGCTACAGTTTTATTCTTTCCTCCTTTAACAGCTCCTCACTCACATATTAAGCCTTACCCCTCAAAAACTGTTTAAAAATATATTAGGAACTGTACTACTTTTGGATTATATTGCCCTGCATTATACTGTTGTAGGCAAACAATCTACTGAGATGAGAAAATTAGCTCTAAGACATAAAAATGGGTTTTTTTCTGCTTTTCAAGATGCAGAAATATCATAGCCCATTACCAGTTYTGTTTTGAAGCCAAGAATGCTAATATTTTGCTCGCCATTTCCTAMCACCATGGGTCAGTCCACAGCTGTGCAGGCACTCAGAGTTTCAAAGGCATCCTCCATGCTTCTTAGTACATTCCTCCAAGATGAAATTTCTTTCTGAAATACWCACTCAAAACATAACCAAGTACCTGACTCTGCATTGCTGCGATCAGTTATTTGCCTTAACATTTACAGAGATAAAACAAGGAAAACAAACATGCTATCACTGCACCCAGATATGGTCACCRTAAACTGAAAGACAGTTCACTGAAAACAAAAACTTGAAAATGACTCTTTGAAGTGGAATATCTCCAGTATCACCTTGAATAACAGAAAAGCAAATTTCTGAAGTTAAAACCATGAAATAATGATAATTAAACTGTAACTCAAAATAGGAAATGCCAGAGGAAATACAATTYATGAGATGTTTGCATGTTGTTATACTGCAAAAAAAAACTGACTTGCACAAATTGAACCAATTCCAGCCTGAGCTTCAGGACATTATTGACACTTAAGAAAATAGCCCCTTCAATCTTTTCAGTGTCTAAGATCACTTTTACAATGCCTAATTTGTTAGAAGTTTCAAGCATATTTCCAGCTGCAAGCAATTCTCTGTTATGGATCTGCAATATCCAACAGTTGGCTTCAGTTTCYAGTAATGACACTGCAGTCAAAACTCTGCAAGATGTTTGTGTATCTACCCAAGGCATCCAATGTTCTGAAATCATCAACACAATACATTTAAAATAAATCAATGACCTCAACAGGATCCAGGTACTTTGTCAATGCTAAAAAGAGTTAATCTCTTCATCAAGTAAAAAAAAAAAAAAAAAAAAATCCAACAAACATTTTGTAAGGAAAAAAACACCTAAGGAAAAAAACTACCTACCAAACTATACCTAAACCAAACACAAAAAACCCCTCAAAAAAACCAAMCCACCAAAACAAAACAAGAAACAAACAAAAATGCTCATGATGTTCCCAAGACATCCTGAATCATGGACCATAGGAAGAATTATGCCAGATTCCTACAGTACTGCCTTGGCAGCAATATCACATGAGCCAAGGCATTTCCCTCAGAAGGGTATTTGCAGGAGTCATGGCTTTACAAGAAGTGACTCTAGCTTTAGACACCAAGGGGAGAGAAGAGGGTAGTCAGTGCTTATCACCAAAAGTGCCCCTGGACAGGCAGTTTCCTATTTTGTCTCAAAATGTCTCCTTACAATAGCTCTGTCCCCAAGCAGTGAGGACACAGGTAATGTATAGGCTACATTCATAATAAACAAAAAAAACCCAAACCAGACTCTGGCTCCCCGCGAGACAACTGCTGCCACTGCCCTCAGCAAGCAGAATCAAGAAGGACACTTCCACTGTTCCTTCCCTAAGGATAATTAGACATTAACAGCTGGTAGATGCCTCCAGGCTGTTGGGCACACTTGGGAAGAAGGAAGCCTGTGGTAACATTTAATGGGCTTCTAAGAGAAGCAAGAAACTTGCAGCAAAATGAAAATCTGCAGCCACAGTGGAAGTGTCCCTGACAAACCTCGAGAGACAGCACAGAGTTGGTTGAAACCAGAAAGACCCTGAGCATCTGCCCATACCAGAAAGAATGACAGCCACATACAAAGAGGGCAGAAGGAGATTAGTTGGGTTTTTTGTTTTTTTTTTTTTTTTAATTTAAACTGGCAGATTTTGTTCTAATACAAGATATTATTACTCTACTTTAATATTTTGTTCTAATAGCACAAAATTGTTATTTCAGATTCGATGGCTGCAGTTGTAGTCATTTGAAACAAAAYGTGGGACAGTTTCACCTCTAGGCTCTGGTCAGCCCCATCATTTAAAGATGGGTGCATATATCTCAGTCTCGTTATTTAAATTCTCCCCACACAGCCCGTCAACATACTCTCAATTTTCTTTTCTAAACCGATGTACTACACATGCAAAATTAAATCCATGTCCACATACCAGCAATATAATCCTTACTCATGCACCATACCCTTATCCATTGTCATGTCCCACATACACACAGAAAAWATTATGAAGTAGCACAGAGCACTGTACCGTATGCAAATGTTCCCTGAGAGAGCAAATGGCAATATTTATGTACAATGATTTAATAAAAAAGACCAAAGCCACTTACAATCTATTCAGTTCTGAGAAAGTTCACAAAGTCATGCACCTTGTTTTCTCATTTACACTAATGGTATACAAGTACTCTGAAACAGCACAGACACCTGACCCTAAGCCTTGTGAACCCAGCCACCACCCAATCTACTAAACTGAACTATCAGTTTGACACCATGCAGAGAAATGTCTCACTAAATTTGTAAAGCCATTACCACTTCTACATATGAGATGGACTACTGATCTCACTATCTGCCAATATCATGTCTTTTTGATGGAAAATGCAGTTTTACACATTTGAAGGACAAGTGTCCATTTTAGGTCTGTTCATTCTTAGGTAGTTTTTTCTTCAAAGACAGAAGCAGCAGTTAAAATKTAGATGTATGTTATGAAGGAAACTGATTACAATTCACATATCTATTGCAGTCTAAGATTCACCCCACCTGACTTGCCAAAGACAGTGACTTCAAACAGTCCCTTTGTTTGCTGCAGAAAGTCACAAGCTGAGAACTGTAAAACCACAACATCCTGGAGATGAAAACATCTGAGCAACAATGTGAAAAAAATGTAAGCACATGTACACATAAGATCTGCTGCAAACCACCAAACTGCTCTGCCAGGAGCTCACTGAACTCTTTCAGATAACATCAACAGCTGTGGAACATCATCAAAGCAGACTGTTTAGTCCCTAATAAAGGAGCTGAMTCCCAGGCTCAAAGCACATAAGTAATGTGAAAGAGCAAATCCAGCTCAGCCAAGAGAGCTGAACCAGCCAGCACTGCAAAGGCTTATGCTGAGAAGACACACCAGGTACATCCAAGATGCCTCAGATGAAAAAGAGAGGAAAGAAATCAAGCAAAAAAAAACGAACAAAAAACCAAAAAAAAAAACCCAAAAAAACCCAAAAAACACCAGTATTATCAGATGCTAACAAATTTAATGCAGTGAATTATTGACTCAGAACCTCAACCCTACCTATAACGGAGGCAAAACCACCATAAAATCTACTTTTGGAGAGTAACATTAGAGCAAGATGAAAAAGCACATTCTCRTCACCCATCCAGACTTCTAAACAACCACGACAGTACTGCTCCTGGCAATAGTGAAACAATACTCTGTTTCATCTGTTTTGCAGAAAAATGTATTTGATCTATGTGTTATCAAAGGCTCAGGTAGTCTTCTTTGCCACTAAATCTTCTTGAGTCAAAGATACTGTTTCCTCATTTGAGATTTTATTTCAATAATAGTAAGTATACAACACTTCTATTRAGATTACCAGTATCTCTCAATACCCAAAGGGACGAATGAACACAATCATAACTTTTCAAATTACATTCCACTTTGTGTCTATGGAATTATTGCTTTAAGACTGTAACTGATGAATACTGTGAAGCAAGCTCCCTAAAACAGGAATCTAAAGCATATTCTACATCATTCACTTCCTCTCTGATGCCCTTTTCACGATGAGTAGAGAACCTTTATACCCAGCCAGCAGTCCCTCTTGCAAGCCCCTCCATTACTACAAACCCCAGCTTCTCCATCAATAAATCAYTGATGGCCCATACTTCTCTACCCCTCATCCTCCAAGCAACACAGTGGTCTGCCTTTGTGGTTAACAACTGCTCTATTAATACCACTATTCATCAAAAGAGAATTATAGGTAAATACCTACCCACAGTTCTTTCAACCACCACTCAAAACTGGCCTCATTTTCAAAGCACATGACCAGCCCAAATCCTTCACASAGTAGATTTAAGTTCAAGAGAATTCAATCAAAAACAAAGGGTACTAATGACCATCAACTATCTAAGCTACAGATTTCTTGATTCTCCTATAAAACTGAGACCAAGCACTACAAGGATTTCAAGCCCTGGAATCTAACATTTCAGATAGCAAAGACGAGTAAAACATAAAACTAGAAACCAYTCCAAAAATAATTAAAAAAATAAAAACAGGAAGACCAGACATGCTCAGCTGAGACACGCACCAGCATATTAGACTTTAGCAAGCCTGGTGCCAGCAGTATCAGTGAGATTCCCCTGTTGGTAAAATAMGAGTTCATGTCCCTGAAAGCTAGCCCCTCTAAGCCTTAGCATAAGAAGACATGTATAATTTTAAAAAGTCAAGACAGACTTGCATACAGAATGCTTAGGTCTTCCCAAAAGTTTTCTGTAAAATATCTCACATTCATCCTAAATAAAAAATTCTTTTAACAAGACTCTTTAATTCTGGAAGTTCATGAAAGAGACTACATTCATCTTTGGCTAGTCTCACTGAAACAAGCCAAATCAATGTGCCACATCAATGATGTGAGACTGCATCTTAATTAAAAACTCATCCAATGTGATGTAAGCAGAAAGCATACCTTYGAAATAGGAGTAACTTCATCTTCACATATTTCAAAATGCAGRTTACACACTTACCCAGAACAGACAGCAGAAACCACAAGAATAAATTGAGAAATGAAAAACTATTCTATCCCTACACTTGCATTTTAATTTCTCATTCTTAATCTGCAGGCACTCAGGAACATAAAATGCACTTACATTARCAGCCTAATGTCTTTTTTTACAAAAGAATAAACAATGGTTATGGCAGTTCTTTTTTATATCCAATCATGAAAACAAGGAACCTTCAGCAGCCATCAATGTTATTTCCAGTGGAAAACTAGGTAATCCAGCRTTCCTCAGTTAAGGAAGAGATTCCTTTACAAGGAACAAAAGGCTAGTATCAACAGTGTTTTCTAAAAATACAGCAAGAGTTGAGGACCAGTGTGAAGTGTTCACTCCCCAACTGCCAAATTTTTAATTAAAAAAAAAACATTTATTACAACAGAATATTACAAACAACTAGCTTCAATGATCAACAAATAAAACTTTACAAAATGCAAACAGTGTAATTTCCATTTGTGGAGTGACWGATATCCCAAGTTTACAAACACAACATCCTTTTGTTTATGCCCACTTAAAAATAATTTCCAGTCTGCTTTATTTTCCATCAAATACAGTACATTTATCCAAACAAAAGCATGTACATTCAATATAGAACATTTTGAGCAAAGCTACAATCTTAGTTCCCATTCACAGTATTTTTAGTGCAATGCACTAACAGGGCCAAATAATTCTCTATCCATAAAAGCATTTTTACTCCTGATCTTGAGATCAACATTTAGATATATTTTATACAAAAAAGTATATATGAACACGAGGCACCTCCCTAAGTAAGGGAGTGAACCGATATAAAAAACATGGTATTTCTTCTGATGTACAATACCTTTCAAAYTGTAGCAATTTGACACAAATCACTAAAAAGTCTTTTCTAAAAGGTAAAAAAATAAAAAACAAACAAACAAAACCAACAAAAAAACCCAAAACAAAACCCATGGACGCATGAAACCTGCCAAGAACTTCATAAAGGTAGGCATGCAACTGTTTTACTATACTCTTAATTAAAAGGTTAAAAAAAGGTATCTAAAACATTTTCCAATAACACAAAGTCAAGTGCTACCCATAGTGGTCACTTACGATTTTGAGAGAAAATATATTTTGAGTTTCTCCAGAACTGTCCTCCCTTTTTATTAATATTTAACGAAATAAGCTAACATTATAAAGGGTTGTGCACAGATTGTCTATAATAACATCAGCAAATATTCACTACCTTCATATTAACATTAGTGTGTTGATCTTTCAAAAATAAACTGAAAAAATAAACTGCAACTATCATTAAAGTGCTTGTGTATAAACTTTTTTTAAAAAATTAAAGAATAGAGGAATGTGGATATTCTAGTAAACTTCCTAGATGTTTACAAAATTTTTTTTTATGAACCACATATGGAAACAAAATGGAGGTCTTTGAAGCAGCTTCAGCARAGTGAAGTTCAGAATGTCCCAGAACTGGGAAATTAGTCAATATGAACAAACTGAATTTATGACAAATACTAAAAATTAGTAAAACTCAACCAATAAACACTACATTGTTTGATCTTATACATTCATTTGTAATAAATTTAAAACAGTATACAACACAACATTTATGAAAGTAGGATATCACATCAAAGTTTGAGCTGTCCATCAATTAGCACTACCAAGGAGGACCAGTATGCATGATGAGCTTTCTGAAGATGATTTCCTAAATGAGGGAAAAAAACCTTCTTCCAAAGCTGCTGTTCATTAACTTGTCTCTGGTGTACTCTTTTTTAATTTCAGAAAGTTTGTTCTATACTGTGTCAAACTACAACTGCATAGTGATAACTGCTAATTTAGAAGTGTGTGCATTTTCTCAATTACTTCAGTGTTTTGGGAAGTAGCACTGACCCACAAGAAGTCAGAATGGTTAATAATATAGTAAGAAAAGAACAGCTTATGAAAATATTTCCTCCTTATAGTACCATTATCAAAATTAGCAGTTCCAACAACAAACTAAAGTCTTTTTCATTCAAATGAACTTCGTACTTTCCGAACATCACTTGAACCTATCTGAAGAGAAATGGGAATAAATTAATACTTTGAGTTTACCCATAGAATTCTGTTTTAAACTTCACAACATAAATAATTTATAAGGCTAAATTTTTAATTCTTATTTAAAATGCAGAAATCACTCCCCCTCTAAAATTCAGCACAAATCAGTTCATTTTTGAAGGTCTGTCTAATTTGGCCAGGATTTGTTATAAAGTCACAAAAGCACCACATCACGATTTAACATAACTGGGTAGTTATTCACTGTGAAAGCTGAACTCAAATCAAATCACTTCCTGGAAAATAGCATTTCATTGTTGCAATATAAAACAAGGCACATATACTTAGTTTTCTTTTTACCAAATATGCTTGAAAGATTATTCTGAATCAGGATGTTAAAATCTCCTACAAGTATCACTACAGTCTTTCTTCATTAYGCTTTTGTACAATGCCCAACCTTCAGGCATCAACTGGTCATTCTGAAGTACAAACTGACAGGATACAAATATTTTCTTTTTTAAAAGGTCCTCTAGAAACAGGCCACCTTTAACGTGCAGGCTATGGAAAACAGCATAATTACAAATACAACCCCTCCAAGTGTAAAAAGTTCCCAGAGTACCACATAAGCCAAAGTACATAAAATTCTTGGCCAGACTTCAATAGAAACTGCTTAAAACAAAAAGTTTGATAAGACTTGAACAGTTTTTAAAAATAAATGACCACAAGTAAGTCTCCAAACCTGAGCTTATATAAATAAGCATTAAAAGAACGAAATCCTAAATTTTATAATTTCAAAAGTGTTTGCAGGCACCTAACCTGTGATTTTAAATCAAAGCAACTAAGTGACCAAATWACATTAAAAAAAACTGTTCTATGCACATTTGTTGACAGTATGTAGCAATACACATTAAAATAAAACTTAAAATTCACAAATGCTAATCCCAGTAAGTTTTTAAAGATTTTTCTGTTATCACCTTTTATTTTAGTACTTTTAGTACTTCTTCAAGTGGTCACAGCAAAGTTAATTAAATGAGTTAAATTATTCAAACTGAAAAAATAACTGCTAATTTAAAAATTACTATTTAAAAAGTGTATGTATATTAGCTTGATTACAACAGGTGCTTTAAGACAGTTTAAAGAGTTGATTCAGTAGTTTAATCTATATTCCATCTTCCTACAATGACAAATTTAGATTTTAACTCTTTTCCAAAATGCTAAAAACAAAATATAAGAAACAAATTTGACATCTACTTTTGCATTTAAGCCACTAAACCATAAAATCTATGGGAAAATATGTTTTCGATAACACATCAACAAGAGCAAAAGAAATGCACTGGTATTGTTGGGTTTTTTTTAAAACAAAACAAAACTAAACTAAACAAAACTAAACTGAACAAAAAGACAACAAAAAACAAAAGACAAAACACTTTTTCTTTTTCCTCACCAGACAACAGCTTTAGATCTTGTACTTCTGCCTTTGGTTTTACTTTCTTCAGGTGAATGAGATACATTTGCTTTGTGGGTTTTCTTATGATGTTCTAGAAAAGCTTTTCTGGCAAATGTTTTCCCACATTTATTGCATCGGTGCAGAGAAAAGTTTTTTGTCACTTTTACTTCAATGCCAACATCAGCTCCTTCATACTTTTTATTGGGAGAATTAGAGGCGACATCCTGTTTTGAACCAATGTGTTTTGTTTCATCCCTCTGAGAGCCTCTTTTTGTCACCTTATTTAGAACAAGATCAATTGGCTTCTTTATTGCTCTTATTTCTAAACTTGCAGTTATTTTCCCAAGGTAGCGTGGTGACTTTTTATGAACCACAGTTATGTGTCTTATCACATCACGCTTGCGACGCGTTTCGTAAGAGCAGAGTGGACACCTGTAGTATTTAACATAAATATTATTTCCATCTGTGTGTAATTCAATGTGTTTTGTTAAATTCTGTTTAGAAGTAAACTGGCGCTTACAGAGTTTACAGTAAAGCTGCTTGAAGTCAAAGCCAGCTGAAAGTTTTGGCTTTCTGGTTTTCTGCTGGCCACCTGCAGCAGATGCATTGGTTGATTTAGGGGTTGATTTAGAGGCTGATTTGCAGGTTGATTTAGTGGTTGATTTAGAAGTTGATTTAGGGTTTTCAGGGTCCTGTTTAACCTTATTTTTCTGTGCTGACGGTGTGTTCTTTTTCTCATTTGAATGATTTGTTCCCTTTAATTCATTCTGTGGAGAAAGCACAATGGAAGGGGATGAAGGTTCTACAGAATCTGCTGGTTCAACTCTTATTTCAGTGCCATTGGCAGTATTGTTGGGTCCTTTCTCTCTTTTAGAGTTCTTTCCAGAAAGTGTTATCTTGTGAACAATTTGCATATGCCTTTTCAGCATTATTTGTGAACTATATTTTCTCTTGCACAGAAGGCATTTGCATGCACTTAAATTGTATTCAGTCTTTGAAGACGACTTTTGTTTTCTGGTCTTTAAAGATTTTTTAGCAGAAGCTGTATCCAAGAACAAAGGTTGCCCAGGCTTTGTAGCTATATCAGGAGTAATGGAATCCCTTCTTAATCCTCTATGAACTTCATCAAAATGCCTCCTTACATTGGCTTTTGTAGCAAATGATTTATAACACACAGGACAACTTCTACCTAGTGTTAGGAGAACATTCTTATTTCGTCCTTTTGCAGAGCACTGGTTTGGTTTCTTTTTTGTTTCTATGTACTTCTTTAGCTCTTCCATCTTTTTTTTGTGTACTTTTCGAATGTGCCGGCGTACACTGCGTCTTGAATGAAATTCTTTCCTACAGAGGCAACAAATCAACTGGTGGCCATAATCAGAATTATCCAGAGAGTCCAAGTCAGGATTTACTTCTGGTGGCTGCTCTTCAGGCGTAGATACCACCTTGTTTATAACAGGATCAGCAGGAGGTAATTCTACAGTTTCCCCAGCTGGGACTGGGGCTGAAACAGTCTTGGGTTGCTCTGTGCTGGGTTCCTGTATCTGTACTGGAGCTTGATCAGGGGTATGGCTACTTTCTGTGTTCTCATCTGAGCTATCAGTCCTTGACACATACTGAAATACAGCATTTTGATTCGTTTCTATAGGTTCCAATGTAATTACATATTCTTGCTTATCTACCCTTGGATAGATTGCTTCAAGGAGGTCATTTATGGCTTGACTCTGCTTATCTTTTGTATTTGGGAGGTCTGTGAAAAGAGGAAAAGGTATTTTTTAATGATTTGGTAATCTTCCATTATTGAAATTTCAAAGTAGCTTTTAACCACTCTGTGAATTCAGTCTCAGAATTTCCACAAATCCTGCATTTTTTCTCTCTGAACACTCAAAGGCTTTGAGTAATCATAACAAGTGGCCTTGTTATTAAAAGCCAACATCGGAAATAATCCTCCCAGCATGCTGATGTGAAAGCCACCTGAACTAAAAATTTGTATGACTTGAATTAAGCTGGTCTTTAAAAAACTGTATCAATTGCAAAAATAACATCATTTGACTGAGCAGGTGTGCAACTAAGCCTGAAGTATCATTAGAAACCAATTTTCCTACTGTGGGACACAGGGACTCTCAATAAAGGAACCTAATTCTGGAATTAGCTCTYCTCTATGAATTCTGAACAATCCTTACCAAAGAATGAAACATCTGTGTAACCTGAGCATTCAATGAAGATATAAGTAGATAGTATTTTAGATGCCTCAGTATTATTCTCTAAATGACAAATTAGTTCAGTGGTCTAGTTCCCAGTGTGATACTCAATGCATCTGCACTGGCACAACTATGAGGCCAGGATCCTACAGCAAAAGGGTGAGGCATGGAGATGACACACTTCAAATTATTGTGGATAATTTTAAAGATGCGAGTCCTGGTAACAGCTAAGTAAAAACCCAACTTAATTAGAGTTAATCCTTCCACACACCAAGCAATACATGAAAAGTATCAGTACAAGAAATATGCTGTTTTGTTGCTCTAAACCCATTTTTAAACACTGAATTTTTAACAGCTTTTGCAGTCAGTTTCAAATGGGCCTTTCAATATAGTTTTTACCAAGAGTAAATAGTCCTTCCTATTTTATAACATCTTTTAAGACTACTTTGAGACTATACTGAATGCATGTCAAAAAAGTAACTCGGGAATAGTCTTTAGAATTTTTCACCATGGGGTGCTGAATTTCTATTCCTGCCTCTTGTTCACTACCTTTTATTTATTGAAAAAAGCTTCCACTTAGTTCAATAACTATTCTCAATTTTACATACAGCACAAATATTTACACAGTTTTATTCAGAGAATGTAGTATTATTCCCTTTATTTGGACTTCTCATAGTCAACAGTGGAAGTTATTTTATTTGTATGTTACTTGTATGTTATTTTATATAACATGAAAGTTAATTGGAAAGTTAAATGAAGGTTAGAATGTCAGGAGCTGGATATGAAGTCTTTCCTCAGGGTAATTTTACTTTGCTTAGAAACTATTGCATCTACGTCAGATGCACTTCCAACCTTGCTTTGAAACTACAAGTCAYTCCTTTTCACAGAGAAGCTGTGACTATCTTACCAGCCAAGCAAGCTCATTCAAGCTTTCTTGGCCAGTAACAGTTCCTTTTCACCTTCTCCTAGCTGACATCATGTGCAAAAAGAACCAATGTATATCTCTGTTTGTTTTTAACTTTTGAAATATTGAGACAGGAAGGCATTAATCAGGAAAGAAAAATCCTCACTGCAACTAYGCTGATCTAGTAAAGAGATCAAGATAATTAGAAAGCTTTACAAAAGCTGACACATTTCCAAATTAATCAATCTTACTCAGATCAACCGAAAATCATCACTGGAATGAGATTTCAATAAATTTATTCTTCCATAAAAATARTTCTTGATTTTTTCTTCATCATTTAAGTTACTTCTTTTAATAAGTAAGTTTATTTTCTATAACAAAGATGTTGGGATAGGCATGATTGCATAGAATATGTTAAAGCAGCATAAGGTGAAGTAAAGCAGGGGAAAAAGCAGTATTCAAGCACAGATCCCTRAAGAAAAGGGTGAACTTTTAGTCTGTGTTTCATACTGATTAAGAACAAAAGACTGCATCCACGACAAAAGCACTATAAGGACTTCCTCAGTACAGGAGAATATTAAGGATATTAACCCAGGTCACTTCACAGGATTAGCTGAAGTCTATCAGAGCTATGATGGCCCAAAATTGAAATACCCTGTTAGAGCCACTGTTTTCTGTGAGAATAATTTCCCAGTCCTTTGACATACTTTTGGTATCTTTCACAGCAAGGAAGGACACATAGGAAGAAAAAATGGAAGAAGGACTAGGAAGTGTTAAGAGTGACTTTTAATTAGAAGGCCAGATGTATAAACTAGCTATCTAATTATGGTATTGGCATGGGTCTCAGTTATTAATTCATATAAAGTCAGTGCTGTAGCCTCTTCAATAACATAAAAGTGATCTACATATGTTACTACAGGAATTTATTTCCACCTCTTTTTTTTTGCATTTTTGTTTCAGATGTGTTTGTAAATTAGAAGTTTTTCAATTTCACATAGTTTATTAAATATTTCAAATAAGACTTACTATCATCCATCTGAAGACTGGGAGGACAATAAAACTTTTTATGAGTAATTAAATTTGGTAATCCTCTGAAGAGACTCCGACACAATTTACACTCAAAAATGGTRTCCACATCTTTTAACAAGATATGTTTAAGTTGTTTCGTTCCTGTAATAAAAAAAATATTACACTTAAGGAAGGTTTTCTGTTCATCTTAATTCATCTCATTCCATGAAAGTGGAAACACTCTAGACCATTAATTATTATAACAGCATTTTATCTTTTATGAATGCTACTTCATTTGCACTGTAAGTTTATGATACATACTCCAAGTTTCCCTATGAACACAAGAATGAAAAAAAAAACCCTAAACGATTAGTCACATTACAGTCTACAGAGCAAATGCAGTGATTTTCAACAAAAATTAACACCTAATGTTAGGAAAGAGTTCTTACTACAGTATTTGATTGTTGAAATACAATTGCCCAACAAGAAAAAATAAGCACCTTGAGCATTTAAAGACGGTAGTGTTTTTTCTTTAGGATTATCCAACAGTGCTAAGAAAACAAGACATATGCAGCCATTTGACATAGAAATGGCTCCTATTAAGACAAAAAACTAAAGCATAAAAGAAAGCAAAGAGAATAACTAACAGGTCAAGAAACGTTACTACAGGTCAAGAAATGTTACTACTAATGTTACTACATTTGACCCAAGTCCAAGATCATCACACTTACGGAAGAGAGCAGAAACATAGGTATACTTTCAGCCTAATAAAAGGACTATCTATACAATTTAAATGAGAAAGTTCTCTATTAAAACGTACGAGAGTGTGATAAAATAAGCCTGATTTCCAGACCATTATACACTGTATACAAAGACAGTTAGATCTAGCATTGCTGATGCATTCCAGCTGCAGTCATTTTTTTACACTTCAAATTTACTCCATTTCTCATCTCACGAAAATAATGAATGTAATGCCTAAAATTAGCCAGATTACTAAATGATGAATACTTACCCACTCCAAATAAGAGCACCAATTAACCAAACTCAGCTGATTTATCTAACTTGATTTTTCTTAGAATTTAATAAATCAAAACTAATCAAACAAGCAAAAATATAATTAAACTGGACCATGAATAAATAATAATAAACACCTGTGGAACAACAGCAAGACATTCCTCAAGCTGAAATACAATTGTCTGTCACCTCATCACACATAGTGTGATGCTGTTTTTGAAAGACAACTGTACAGCAGGATCTGTATCTTCATTACTTTCTATGAAAACTCTTATTAAAAGGAACATCTAATTCAAAAAAATCTACATGTATTTTGCAAATATATATAAAGTCAGGTGCTGGTTATTTTAATATATTGAATAAATGTAAGTCTTTTAACAAGGTAATGAATTTCGTAAGAGTCAGGCATGGTTTCATACCTGATCGAAAACACTCAATGATTTGTTGAATACCAGATTTTGATGTCTGCAGAGGCTGCTGCAATAATGGAGGATCACCAGGTTCCAACAGATGCACTGAAATAAATAAAAGGATAATAAGCCATTAGAAAACAYTCAGGTGATTTCTACAAGTTAGGAATTTTCCACATATATAGTAAGCCAGCTAAAAAGAACAGCCAGGACTACAGTGAAAGTAGCCTTACTCAAAAATTTTCATCCATATWGAATCAAAAAACAGTCTGAATTTTCTGAATACGGAATTTTCCAGCCATGCTACCTTCTGATAACTTGCTGTCATTAAAAAAAAAGGTGTATTCAAAGCTACATGTAACAAACACAGAAACTTATATAAAACCAAATTAACTCACTACAAATGTCCATCGATCAAAGTAATTCTCCAGAACAAACTACTTGACTCCCAACTTTAAAATCAAACCAGATGTACAAAAAAGCATTACCAAATACTGTATTACCAGGATTACCAAATACTTCACAGCATACTRTATGACTTCAACGTTGCCAGTATGCACCTAAACACTGAACCCAAATTTAAAGTAGCAATGATCAGAAAAAAAGCACAAGCATAACTACACAGTATACACAAAAAAAACCTGTAATAGTATTTTTAATCAAGAAAATTACATTCAATAAACTCTTCAGGGTCAAGTATACTGCTGAGGGAATACTTTATTTCTGATGTTTCATTCCACATCATATTGTTTGCAAAAGCTATTGAAACTAAAACATATATTATTCAGGATTTTTATTCATTCCAACATGCAGTATTTATGCATATAAAAATGGATAGCATTCCATTGATGTATATTGATATGGCAATCAAGCTTTGCTAGAGGCAATCCCAAATTTACAGGAATAAGAGCATTTATTGAAGCATGTGTTTGCAAAATCATTAGTTAGGTCTTCTTTTACATTTCTTATTGACTAAACAGTTAGCCTCCTACTTCATAATCTGTCTCCCACCTTATCCATTTGGTTTGATTTTAACCCCATTTAAAGGTTTTCATTTCTAAATGAAGTACTGAGCATCTCTAAGAAATTTATTTTTTATAAAGGCCAGTAGAGGCATAGTATAAAACAATATATTTAGAGATATTAAGTGCAAAAAGACTAAAAAAAAGTTGACAGGGAAGTTGAGCTAAAAGATAAAAGGTTATAAATAAATTCTAGCTTAACATAGCATCAGAAAGAAAAGCACAGTAAAAAAGGACAACAGATTGWACACTCCACCCAACTATGCTGGCCCCATAATATACTATTATATATACAAATATGTAACAACCATGACAAATCAGCTAATCATTTGGGGATCTCTAACACAATGACATATTGTATTTTAAGAGCCTACTCCCTACACTACCAAAAAAAAAAAATTTTGGTTTGTATACAGCCTCTAATATGCAGGTACAACACCTACTGACATCAAGAAGAGTARCATAGGTGAAGCAGACCTAACATATCACTGTTCACTTGTCGGGCAAGGAAAGTACTTTCATTTTTTTCAAACAACTCAAAAYCATTCCATCAACAACACAAGGAAATGTTTATATAAACTGAATAGTACCTACTGTCAAATTACATTTCATTAAAGGAGCATAATGGAAGTCACCATGCTCACACATTCATCTGCTAATTCCCCAAACTGATACCTTTCTCCTCAAAACAAAAGAGAAATCACCCAAATAACACCTTTCTTTCAAAAACAGAAGTGAAAGCACCCAAATAAACGCCATTAACAAGACAAAAAGGAACAAAATTGCCTTTAAAAGTAACAATTGTAAGAGGAGGCAAAAAAATTTCAAAAGCATTTAGCAGGTTGACTGAACCTTTAGAGAATTCATTACAGGTTTCACTGATGGCATCTTTCACATCACTCAGCCATAGAATGTAAAGAGTTGTTCTAGGACTTGGTGGGGTTTTTCTCCTCTGAAAAAAAGAACTTCAACTTCATCAGAGTTCACCAGAGAAGACACAGAATAAAAGTATAAATAACAAATGCAAATGATTGCCACGAACATCATTTTACAAAAATGCCTCCTAATACTGCACTTTTTGGAAACAAAAAAAGGGCAGTTCTATACAACTTCTTGCCTTCCTCTGCTCACTGAATACAATGCCTATGTRGTGGCCTGAGGATTATTCAACATCCTGCAGGAACTAAAAAATTCTCTTCCGGAAATTACTTTAAAGGGACAGTTCAAGGATACAAAAAAAGCATTTCCAAACAAAATTCAGAAACTTTTTATACTTAGACCTGACACCAATGATATACAATCGCAACCCTCACAGCAGTTTCTACAAGCTTTTATTGAAGGAGAGATGCAAAAAGCGTATCACACACCACTGTACCTGCTTCACAGCATCCATGGTGATGGTGGTCAGTCTGACAACACTTGTCCCTTAGAGGCATTTTCCGTGCGCACGACCTACTTTCCTTCTACATCCAGCAGCTCGTTTCTGCTAAAATAAGCAAATTAGCTGTCACCGCCGAAGCACAACCGGCTAAGGAGCGCGTCAACCCCGCACACCCATTTCCTACGGCGGCACGGCCGGGCAGGCCGGAGGCAGCGGCACCCCTGGCGCAGGAGAAAGTTCCCATTGTTTTCTGCAGGTCTCACGACGCCCTCTGCAACGGCCGGAGCGAGCACGGCCCCGCTGTCGCCCCGCCGCCACCTGCGCCTGGGCCGCCGGGCAGAGCCCCCGCCGCCGCCCTCCCCACGGAGCCCGGCCCGGCCGCGCCGCCCCGCGCCCCCTTCGACGGCGGCCCCGCCGCGCACCGTCCCCACCTCGCAGCCTCGTCGCGCAGCCCCCCGACGGGACGGTGTGCCTGGGCTCCCTCGGGGAGCGGGGAAAGCCGCGTCCCCGACAGCCCGGGGCTGCAGCGCGCCCGTGGCCGGGCCGGGCGCTCCCGCGGCGCTGCCGGAGCCACAGCCGGAGCCGGAGCCGGAGCGGGGCGCGCCCGCCACGCGCAGCCCGAGCGGGAGGGGCGCACGGCCGCAGGTGACAGCGAGCGCCGACGCCGGGACGGGGCGGGCGCGACGGGAGGGAGGGTGCCGCGGGCCGGCCCTACCTGGAGAGGACGCGCGGCTTCTCCTTCCCCGAATTAAACTTTATTCGCCCCTGTCCCGCCAGAGCGGCGGCCGCTGACCCCGGAGCCGGATGGGCACGGGGGCAGGAAGTGACTGCGGTCCTGGCGGCGAGCGCCCGCCCAGTGCGCAGGCGCCGCGCTCGCCGCTCCCCGGCCCGGCCGCACAGGTGCCGGGCGGCGGCCGCGGGACGGGACGGGATGGACGGGATGGGCTGGGGGCGGCCGGGCCCGCGGGGCTGTGGCGGGACGCGGGACGAGCCCCGGGCGGGCTGAGGCACAGCCCCGCCGCAGGACCGACCCGCCGGGCGGAGCGCGCGGCAGGAACCGGCGCCGTCTTTGTCCCGGCGGGGAGAAAGGCCCGCGCTGACCGCCGCGCACACCCGCGATGCGCAGCGCTGCCATGAGGCACCGRTGCCYGGAGASCGGAGTGAGCAGCCAGCATCCCTRGGGGTGGCATTTGTGCGCTCTAGCWGCTTGGTCTGCGCTGTTACAGTGTAAAAAAGTATGAAACAACTCACCGTTTGTTCTAATAGACCTACCAAGGAAAAGGACAGGTAAATACTTTGAACGCCTGAAGGAAAAACTCGTGTTCKGAAGGAATTGTGTGATCTCTGTTCCAAATATCGCCCACAGGACGCTGGTGCAGGGCAGTAGTGGCAGGGCAACGGGTGTCTGCAGATTCGTTTCCGCAACAGCTTGCTTAGTCCTCTGCTCTCTTATTGCACTTCTGTAAGCAGCTCATGTGGTTGAAAAGGTAATACTTGACTTTTCCCAAATAAAAGGATAACATTTGGTCTTCATTTACTTAAGAAAAGCTTCTGCCATTGAAGAAAACCTTCTGCCATTGAAGAAAAATCTGTAAGGAAATGTCCAGAATAAGCACATAATTACGGGGGAAAATGCTAAGTGATGCTACTAACAGAGAAACAATCTGCCAAGCTCTGGCTCGTAATAGCATCACTTAATGGAGATAGGACTCATTTCAGACAAAGTTCCAAGTCACATTACAGTCTGTGGGAGAGTAAGATGTCTCACACTTTCTTAGATCAGACATGGAGCAAGCATACTATCTGTGGCCATAMACTTGTGCACTGTAATGTCTTCTTTTAAAATACGGATATTGATTTAATAAGTCTTTTTCCAAAGCAGCATGAGGCCAAATTCAAACTCCATCAGTTACATTTGGATTTTGGTTAATAAACTGGAAACACCTTAAGTGTCAGAGAACACTTCAAATAGCTGGGTTCCAAATAGCATCTGCRCTCTGAAGTGCAGCAGAAGTCAGTTGAAACCTTTTGTCAGACAACCAAACACAGGGCTTTGTGTGTGTCCAGAGGTGCTTCCACCTTGAGCTTAGCTCCATCCTGAACTCTGCTGTGTTTTAGACGCACAGTAGAAGAGGCTCAATCTGCGCCAGCCATGCAGCTGCTTTCAGCCCATGTACAGAACACTTGGGTGAAACTGGGTCTGGGGTGACAGGAATGTCAGGGGTTATCAAAGACTGAAATACTACAGTTAATTACTTAAACATTTTCATGACSAACTTTCTGCATATTWTAGCAAAACTATACAAAAGCTGCAGAGCAAGCCACTAAAACCCTGAATGGGACCCTGGCTACAGTGCTCACTGCCCGCTGATCAAAGATAAGATTCAGAACAACTCAGAGCTGGAGAGAATGACCCGTTGACAAAGGGATCACGCTTAGCACCTTTGGGTGGAGACCGTCCCCCCAGGGCTATCAGCTGCCAGGCCAGCACAGACCCTCACATCAAAGGGTGATGAGGGGAGAAGAGAGGCATTGGGTGTGCCTGTGGTCAGAGGCACAGAAACGCCCCTGCTCTGCTGTGCAAAGGAGCTCGCTCAGCTGTGGGGCCCTGCGCCCCGGGACAAGGTGATCCACGTGGGCAGTCGAGGGGCTCTCATGGCCCAAAGACCCCCAAAGGGGTCTCCAGACCCTACACCAGAGATGATGCCACAAATTCACAGTGTTGCAAAGGACAGTGTCAAACCGAGACCCCTGAAGGGGTGACACGTGGGCGTTCCCAGCTGGCCCAAAACGTTTATTAATGCACTGGATTCTGTACTCTTTGGCGTGGTGGCAGCGGCCGGAARGGTGACATGTTTCCATCTAACCCCTGTCACCTTCTCCCTGTCCCCCTGGCTCGGCCCCCCCTTTCCCATGCACACTCTTTTCTATTTCTTTCTTCTCTCTTTCTTTCTTTCTCTTTGCCTCTTTTACTATCAAATAAAGCATATCCATTTTTTGACATCGACATTTAATCTCGTTTGGTTTTAATCTCGTTTTGGGGATATTTTGAACCTTTTCTYGTTCAGTCTGCTTTTTTCACACACTTAGTTTACTCTGCTTTTCTGTACTTAAATCGGATCGTAACAGGGTTGAMAAAGTGCAAGGAACACAGCTGTCAGCTCTAGTTCTGCACAACTTGTTTAACTTGCCYAAGAAGTATCAGACTTACAGAATTAACATTCCCCACCTCCCAGGAGATGTGGGAATCRGGCTCAAAGATGATCTTACATTCTCACTGATGCCACTGTTCTACAAATGTTGAAATAATAGTTAGAGCAGCCTTTGCATCTTGGAAATTTTCTATGAACACTGCTAGCTTTTGTCACCAATATAATTTTATTGAGTGATCAAAAACTGAGAAAGGAAGAATCAACCCGCAAATGACAAACCAGCAATGGAAATTTAGAATCTTTTGGTTATATTTGTGTTTCTGGGTTTAGCTACACTCAGTAGGATATTTTTCCTTCCTCTAATCCAATGAAAGTTTCTCTTTTGCAGCTTATGGCTTAGATTGTGCTTGTGCGTCCAGGTTTTGGTAGTGGGTGTCCTATAAGTGTGGCTTCTCTGAGAAGTTGCTGGAAGTTTCCCTCATGTCACAGAGCTAATGCCAGCCAGCTCCAAGACAGACCCACCAAGGCTGAGCTAGACAGCGATGGTAGTAAAACCACTATGATAACATATTTAGGAAAGAAAAACAAGTTGCTGCACTGAAGTAATTGTGGCCAGAGAAGAGAGGAGTGAGAATATGCGACAGAAACAGCCCTGCAGAACCAAAGTCAGTGAAGGAAGATGAGGAGGAGGTGCTCTGGGCACCAGAGCTGAGCTTGCCCTGCAGCCCCTGGTGAGGCAGCTGTGCCCCTGAGCCCAGGGAGGGCCATCGGGGAGCAGAGGTTCACCTGCAGCCTGGGGAGAACCCCACACCAGAGCAGGTGGATGCCCAAAGAGGCTGTGACCCTGTGSRAAGCTCACACGGGAGCAGGGCTCCACCTGTAGCCTGTGGAGAGAGGAGCCCATGCTAGGGCAGGTTTGCTGGCAGGATTTGTRWTCCCATGGGGGACCCAGGCTGGAGCAGTTCATGAAGAACTGCAGCTTGTAGGAAGTACTCATGTTGGAAGCRCTCCTTTCCCTGAGGAGGAAGCAGCAGAAGAAATAAGGTGATGAACTGGCCATAACAATAACCACCTGCGCACCACAGCTGGGGAGGAAGTAGAGATTTGAGAATAAAGGAAATCCTGGGAAGGAGGGAGAAGTAGGGGAAATGTGTTTTTAAGATTCATTTTACTTCTGTAAAATTGTCCTACTCTGATTTTGATTATGTTCACTTAATTTTTCCAAGCTGGGTCTGTTTTGCCCGTGACAGGGACAGATCTCTCCCCATCTTTATGTCAACTCATGAGACTTCATTCTATTTTTCCTTCCCAGTCCAATTGAGGAGGGGAGGGATTGAGCAGCTTTAGAGGGCAACTGGCATCCAGTTCTTGTCCTCTTCCTATTCACCTCCAAAAAAGTTACTTCCTCCTCCCTATTCAGTGAAGCATTGGGATTATGTCCTCTCAGTGTTCTCATGATAAAGAATCTGAGATCCTTTWGCCACTTATGTCACACGCTCCAATCCCTAGACCATCGTGGTTACCTTCTTCTGGATGCTTTTCATCTTCTGTCTCTTGCATACTTAGGAGCCCAAACTGGACACAGGTATTGCGAATGTGGCCTTGCAAATAGCAAGTAGAGGAGAAAAACCATTTTCCATCACCCCCTGGCTGTAGGCTCATTGATGCGGCATAAMATAGTGGTTAGTCTTAATTACCCCAAAGCTGCAGTGTTGATCTTCATTTCAGTTTTTTAACTGGCACCCGCAGGTTCTTTTTGYGGAGCTGCTGTCTCATTAGCCAGTCCTCAGCCTATACTATTGCATGGGGGTTTTTGCTCTGGGTGCAACACTTTGTCCTGTCAGGACTTTGTCCAGCTTGTTCAGCAACCCTGTCCTCCAGTATGGCAGATACTCTCGGGTTTGAGCAACTCATTTCATCATGTAAGACAATGACATGGGTTATACAAATTCTTTCCTACAGCCTTYCATCTCTCAGTTTTAGAAATTCCTACTAATGTCAAGTTCTACACTGCTATGTTTTTTTGGAGGGGGAAATGCATATTTTTGGAGCATGGCCAAACAGCAACTGAAATATTTTTCTGTCTTAAATGCATTTTCATAACTTTTCTGTTCCACACTTAAGGAAGACCAGAAAAAATGGGCCCTTTTGCGTGCATGSCACGTAACTTAGCTTACCTTGTAACCTGTTTGTGGGTAGAAGAACCTAATCTATATATTGCTGCATTTAACTACTCCTCATGTGGTTTATACTGTAGCTAAGTAGTGACGTGGCAAACAACCCCACCCAAGCTTTAACCAGTCAGATAGCCAGCCATGTGCAAAGTGTCTCTGGTACTGATAAAAGCTGCCAGCACGGAGCACGCAGTTCCGCCTGACCTAGCAGAAGGTGCCTTCAGGAAGGTGCTTGCAGAGTGGAATCCTTTCAGCCAGTGACTGACCATTGCATATGAGAAATTTGGAYCAGGGTAGCAAAGATCCCAGGAAAGCTCACTTCACAACACGCTGCTGCAGTTGTTCATCCAAGAGGTTAAACTGGAACTTGGATCCATTTAAGTTTTATTGTGTAAAAAAGAACAGGCGCATTATGTTTCCTGACTTCAGAAAATGAAATATTCCTCTGTAAAATATGAACAATAATTGGAATTTATATTAACTTTCTTCATGTCTTTTATAGATAAGA